CCTTTTCCAAAAGAGGTAATCTGATTGACTGGAACCTGGCTGCATGAAACACAGCTCAACCCTGTTGAAAAAATAGTTCCATTTGTTTCAGGACAGAGCTACTGGCCTTGATTTATACCAGAGATGGCAACCTCCCCATTTCCCTTTCTGTGCACCCCCCAAAGAAAAATTAGCCTTTTTTTGCCATAACCATAGTGGGCAGCCTCCAGGGACTGCAAAAGGGGTCTGGGAAGCCATATTCTTTGCACTCTGTGCTGCATACATATTACACCTCTCTCAAGATAATGTTACCAAACTAGACTGGTCCACAAAAGCTTATGCCATGTAAATTCATGCTGGTTTTAGTCTTTAAGTTGCCACAACATCCTTCCCTAGTACTATGAAATTGTTGGGGAGGAGAAAACATTCCCTCCAAGATCAGGAACAGATTATTTGGACTGTCCTATTTTGCTCCCATATGTCTGTGCTGTAGGATTGATTCTGTTGTTTTTGTTCCATATGTTGCAATCTTCAAAGACAAATGGTGACTGGTGACAGACCTTCCTAGTGATGATTTTCAACTGTATCAACAGAAGCATTCAGTGAGTGCTGAAACTGTGGTGGGGAATGTTTCTCATGGGTGGTTGGCTAAAATATATGGATATTCCCAAGGACAAGAGGAATCATGAGAAGGGCATTTTCTATGCACTGTTGCCCTTGGGTTCTGCAGTATCGGCATGAATTCAATCTAAGAGGTCTTCCTACTGCTCTCCTGCCTCCATAGGCCTGAGATAGAAAGAGGATAGTATCAGGAAGGCACTGACAGGACTCTAGACCCAGTAGTCCTTGTAGTGAACTTGTCCAAAGCAACTTTCCCCAACTTGGTGTTTTCTTAGCACTTCCTCCCAAGGTTTGTTGGACTTCACTTGCCTTAATTTCCTGCTAGCATAGCAATTTGGCTATGCTGGTGATGGAGAAGGGTAGTGGTGGTGGTGGTGGGGGGGGCTAAAGTCCCAACAAATCTAAGTTGGGGAATACAGATCAAGAGTGTGGTAAATCCTAGATTATTTGCTCATTCTGAACAGATTAGAACAAGTCTGCTCTAAACCAGTTGCTTTGATATTTATATAATTCTCTTATTAATATTAAGGGCAACACTTCAGTTGTCAGCTTCATTTCTCCCCTTTCTTTGAAAGTTATTTTCTGGAAGAAATTTAAAGCCAAGATTATTATGAGCCTTTTGAATTCAGATACTTAAAGGGCTTAGTCAGCCAGCTTTTCAGTATCCCAAACTGAGTGTGATAAGCAGTAAACTACTGAGTTCATCTGAAGTAACAGAAAGCCCACAATTATGTGGGTAGACAGTTTATGTGATTTTGAAGTCTGTCTTCTCTAACTTGGTGCCCTGGATGGCAGGGGATAGATAATGTGGGCTTTAGGTTCAATAGATCCATGGAGCACCAGGTTGGAGAAAGCTGTCAGAGCCTCCAGAAGAAATCACTGAAGTACACTAGAAACTAGGAAGAGATTTTCCCTTTGCACTCAACAGACTTCACAACATGAATTTTGGAGCCATCACAACATTTCAAGACATCCCAATATGCAAGCTATTTTGAATTATGTCTATATGGGTACTTGACTCTTTTAGTTAGAGTTATGCTACAGATGACTGATTTCCCAAACCATCATTCTTGTGTTGAGTCTTGTCCAACAGATTAATCTGAAAGATAATTTACTCTACATTCTGATATCATCTTAATATATTTGGCTTCTTAAAAAATGGGGGTTCAGACACTATACCTCATCCACAAATGCAAGATGAGGATTGTAGAACCGTAAGGATCCTGACCTTGACTTCTTAATATCTGGATCTGATAGTGAGAATGACTCAGGATCAGTGAGTTCCGATGTGAGAATCAACTCCAAGAGAAGACGACATCTGGAATACATCTCCCTTCTCCAAAACTCTCCAAAGTTCATTTACACCATCAGCCAAAACGCCATGCTGCCACCAATGCTTAGAACTAAAGATGCAGGCCCTTTAAGGCCACGGACTTTCAGACAGGGCGTTGCCGCATTGCCAGCTGCTCTGTAGGCTGTGAATCAGCACTGAAGCATCCCTCTTGTTGAAGCCTTGTTGTTTTCTTACACGTTTCAGATCTTTTTGTTGCAACAGAGATTGCTATCTGGATTGTAAAACAACAAAGAATCTCATAGCACTTTAAGACTAAGACGTGTCTTAGCACATGAGCTTTCGTGGATCTCAGTCCACTTAATCTGATATATATTTTGACTCTTGCTGCCAACTCTGCCCAGCACTACATCTTGGATTCTGACTTAATGCAAAGACAGATCAGAGTTATTCGCAATCCATCACATGCCAGTATCCTGCTGTAGTATGTCCCATCAGCAATGGACTTGGCAGCTATAACCTTCATTGCCCATACATTAGGCCTGCATCAGAAGGGGCTCTGTATGCATACAAGTAACTGCATCTAGATCTTTGTCCACTCCGATTCCCCACTCCAATGGAGAAGGTCCCCACTGATCTCTACATAGAACTTCTGTTGCATGTCAAATGTATAATTCTGTGGCATTTGGCATTTTACCACTGGAGATGCCTAGCTTTGAATCCCTGTCATGTTTTTTTGCATGTGGGAAAGGGGCATCTGAAACCTCCTTTGCAAATTCAGGCCCACTGGACTATTTGGTCAAGGCCCAATAAGAGAAATATTTTTGAACTATGAATTGACCAGTATAGAGCAGTGTTCCTCAACCTCAACAACTTGAAGATATGTGGACTTCAATATGCTGGCTGGGGAATTCTGGGAGTTGAAGTCCACATATCTTCAAGTTGCTGAGGTTGAGAAACACTGGTATAGACAGAAAAGAAGATTGCTCTGATGGAAATATGGGGAATTCTGGGAGTTGAAGTCCACATATCTTCAAGTTGCTGAGGTTGAGAAACACTGGTATAGACAGAAAAGAAGATTGCTCTGATGGAAATATGCAGGAACTGTTACCTGGCAAAAGAGGCTGAAATGTTTTTTAAAGTCCAGAACAATGAAATACAGTAACATTCAGGAGAGGCTCAGGCAGACGCCTCCCTAATTAATTGGAGAATAAAAAAAGGGGAGGTGCACAATCAGACTTGCAAGATTCTGTTATTATAGCCAATCTCAATAAAAGTAGTTCTTGCCTTCCTGTGGAGTTGATTTCCTGGTCTCATCTATCTAGTGGGGTTGACCACTAACAGGCAATGCAAGTCAAATCAGTTGGCTGGCCCAATTAGTGATTTGAAAGCTTACAGTACACCAATATTACTAAACTAAGTATACATAGACCAGCCTTCTTCATTCAATTTAACACCCTCCAGACTGCATGCTGGCTGTTCTATTTTCAGCATTGCTTATGGTATAACTGGTGGGCTAGATCTTGCTAGAATGAGATCGGATGAGTTTGCTTGCGATGACCCAGTAGGAGCTCCTACAGATACCGTGACAAGCAGGAGAAGGTATGGTCTGGGGATTGGGTAGGCTGATTTAGGAGATGAGGGACCCACAGCTTGGTGCAGGTCCCTTCTTCTAAGCCAGATGTTCCTGTTTTGAGCCCAGGTGACCCAGGCCTGGGTCTCCAGCTGCTGCTGGTAAACGCCAGATCAGTGTGCAATAAGACTACATCCATGATATGATGAAGGATAGAGTGAGCTGATCTGGTATGTATTATTAAGACTTGGCTAGGCTGCAATGAAGATATAGCTGTGTTGGAAATCTGCCCAGCAGGGTTTCAAGTCCTGCAGCCACAATACCAAAGTTAGGGAGGATGAATAGCTTGACCATTTGGGAGACTTTCATAGTGATGAGGCACATGGCCCCAGAGGTAGTGGGCTGTGAGTGCCTCTATGTGGAATTGGATCATACTGACAAGCTGGGGCTGCTTCTGGTGTACTGACTACTTACTCCTCACCAACCCTTCATGAACTTCTAGATCTTGTCCCTGGGAAAGGGGTCTGGTGCAGCTTGTGAGTTCGATGCCTCCATGGTAACCATAGGCTTGTCACAAGTAATTGCAGCCCCAACATAAGTGGGAGAGCACACACTGGACCTGGTCTTTATTCGGAGATGAGACACGATCTGAAAACAGAAGATGTTAACATCTGCCCTTTGCTGTGGTCAGATCACTTCCTCATTTAACTGCACATCATGGAGGCTCTGGACCTCTACAAGGTTGGCACACTCATTCAGATGGTCTGCCCCAGTTACTGAATGGATCCAGAAGGTTTCCAGAAATTTCTTGGGAAGTTCCCTAACAATTTGGTGGGTAATTGTGTCACCATGCCTGATTGATCAGTGGAACACAGAGACAGCCAGAGCATTGGGGGAGATTGTTCTAGCCTGGCCTTTGCCTGAGTGATCCTAAGCAATACCTGAGTTGGCTGAAAAAAATGAAGCAATTGAAAAGTCCCCGAGAGCACGGCAACAGAAAACCAGAAGCGGAAATGAACTTACGGGCCCTTGTAATGGCCTGTTAAAAGTTTTCCCTCCTTGTGAGGTTCAGGGGGTCACTGGCTTTCATAGTGGAGGCTCCCACCATATGGAACACCTTATCCTGGAAGTATAGGTAGCTCCAGCCCTCCTTGCTTTTAGGAAGCAAGTTAAACTAAAGAAGTGCTGTTCCAGCAAGCTTTTGGACCAAAGTTCTGGTTGGGTGGTTATCAGTTTGTTGTGTATCATTATCGTTTCATTTTTATTGCATTATCTTTTGAACAGCTGTATGCTGTCCAGGGTCAGTATGGATTGTGGCTCAATCAATCAATCAATCAATCAACAAATAATAAATACACACAAGTGGAAAACACCAGATTGAGAAAGGCTGTAGATATATACAGACCAACAGGAATCCCCAAATGCTAGCCCATGAAGCAACAACTCTGCCTTTAAAATCAGTAGCAAATTCACACTCCCAGAAAGGCTATAGTAAAGCAGGAGAAGCACAGAATTCACTTCTTTTTAGTCTCCTCACCCCAAATCACAATCAGAAGTAAAGGAACCATACTGCTCCCAATCTTTGGAAACAGCCAGTTTGGTGTAGTGATTAAAGCATCAAGCTAGAAATGGGGAGACCATGAGCTCTAGTCCCGCCTTAGGCACAGAGCCAGCTGGGCGACCTTGGGGTAGTCATTCTCTCTCAGCCCTAGGAAGCAGGTAATGGCAAACCACTTCCGAAATCTTGCCAAGAAAACTGCAGGGACTTGTCCAGGCAGTTGCCAGGAGCCAGCACTGACTTGAAGGCAAACCCTCACTTCCTTGTCTGATGATTGGAGGGACGGCTTCCTTCCAGTGGCCCACCAGACGTAAAACAGTTTTCAACTCACACTGGGTGAGATCCCCTGGGAAGGTATACCTTTCTGTATGTGGATTTTGCGGAAAAACATCACAGGAAACATTTTCTTGCTATAAATTAAAAGCTGAACTATCATGCTAATTTGTAAATAAAGGATATATGCTGTGCTAATGTTATATTTTAAATATAAATACCTTAAAAGTTTCGCTAATTGTGTAAAGTAATTAAGCTGAAATTTTTGATTGGCGGTGGAGGTGGAAGAACCAATAAAGTGCAATTAGTGTAGTTCAAAGATATATTCAAATCACCTGTGAGCTTTATTTGGAAATTGGTTCATTGTGATATCTGTAAATATTTTAAAATGCAGTAATTCAATAGCAATATGCGCCTCCCTTACATTATTTAAATTTTAAGAAAACAAGGCACAAAAGAAACGTTCACTAGCATCAATTCTACACACCCAATTTAACTTGTATTTATTCATTATATGCTTGTTTTATGAAATAATTAATTTTCAAATGTTGAACATTTTAAATGGGAATTAATGACTGGAATATGTTTCACTCATCGTTGCTGGGGAGTCCTCAGTTTGAGTGGATAGAATAATTTTTTTAAAAAATGGATGGGTTTACCTGTTTGGCACAATCCATACACTATTTGTAAGAGCTGCTCTGTTGGATCAGATCTCATCCATCATCTTCTAATCTGGCATCCTTCCTGCTAGCCAAAGACCACTTCCCCACCTATAGCATCTTCACTGCTGCCCCCAGCCACTGCCCCCAGACAAAGCTTCTCCTCATTGCTGTTATTTTGGTCCAATTATGGCTTGATGACTCTAGAGCAGGGTTTCTCAACCTTAGCCACTTTACGATATGTGGACTTCAACTCCCAGAATTCCCCAGCCAGCATGGCTGGCTGGGGAATTCTGGGA